TGAATTTTGTTCCTTTTGAATCAAGAGTTGGCAATGACAGCTCATCTGCTCTATCATTTTCTTGTTATTTGTCTGTTCTTTGAAGTAGAACCAACTATTGCAAAAAAGAGAGAGAGAGAAGAAGAAGACACGGTTTTTTAGGGAGGAACTGGCTGGAGCCGGATCCTGATACATTCTGTCCTGTGTGCCATCTCCTGGCGTTGCCCTTCTGACCTCAACTTCAGAGGCGCCTGGAGCCCCTGAATTCTCTCTCTCTCTGGCCCCCAGGCGGTGGAGTAGCATTTCACATCTTCCTTTCTCTTGCTCCTAACCCATCTTTTTTAAAAAATAAATAATAATAACATCTTATTGAGCTATCATTCACATACCTTCACGTTCACCCTTTTAAAGTGTACAATTCAGTGGTTTTTCGTACATTTGCAGAACTGGGCAACGATCACCCTAATCTAATTTTAGAACATGTCATCACCCCCCCCCCCAAAAAAAGAATCTCCTTATCCCTCTATTAGTTTCCTGTTGCTGCTGTAACTAATTGCCTCAAACAGGCCTAAAACAACACACATTCATCTTAGAGAGCTGCCGCCCAGAAGTCCAAATGGGCCTCGCCGGCTGAAACCTCGGTGTCAGCAGGGCTGCGTGCCTTTCTGGAGGCTCCAGGGGAGAATCTGTTTTCCTGCCTCTTCCAGCTTCTAGAGGCGGCCGCATTCTCTGGCTCATGGTCCCCCTCCTCTTCCAAGCCAGCGATTGCTGGTTCACTCTGTGGACAAAAAGGGGCCACATGCTCACCTGACAGCTCAAGGGAGGCCTGTATGGTGGCCTTGCAAACTCAGAGACTTAAAGTAACCACAAAGGATGGTCTGAAATGAAAACTTTAGCTAAAAGCATTTTGTGGTGGGTAGTCATACCCTAAGCCGGTATCTTCCCGACAAAGGTCAGTCTTTACCTTAACTGAGCCTGTCTGTGGTCTTTTTGCATCTACGATAACCTATTGTTGGAAAGTCAAAGTAATTTTCCTTTTTCTGGACCCCTCAAAGCACAGGCACCGCTCTGCAGAGACCACAGTCTCCTCATTGTTACTGAGTTCATGGTGGACTGTGAAATGTCCTGCACCCTCCTAAGTAAAAGAAGTGTTTGTCTATCATTTTACTTTCCTCCCCCCCCCCCCCAAAAAAAGAATCTCCTTATCCCTCTATTAGTTTCCTGTTGCTGCTGTAACTAATTGCCTCAAACAGGCCTAAAACAACACACATTCATCTTAGAGAGCTGCCGCCTAGAAGTCCAAATGGGCCTCGCCGGCTGAAACCTCGGTGTCAGCAGGGCTGCGTGCCTTTCTGGAGGCTCCAGGGGAGAATCTGTTTTCCTGCCTCTTCCAGCTTCTAGAGGTGGCCGCATTCTCTGGCCCGGGGTCCCCCTCCTCTTCCAAGCCAGCGATGGCTGGTTCACTCTGTGGACCAAAAGGGGTCACATGCTCACCTGCCTAACTCAGGGGAGGCT